CAGCCCGGTTTCAGTTCTTGATGTAGCTTTCGATGAAGATGAGTCACCATCCCCTGTGCGGAAGATATCCGTTGTCTTTAAAGGTGAGTCAATGGGAAGGTTCAAAAAATTTCCGACTGGCATCAAATTTTTCTTTGAGCCTAGAAAAGAAATGTTAAACTATAAGTTCATTAATATTAAACTCGTTACATTTATCCACAATATTCAAACCAGATTGCAAGTTTTGATTTGTCTAAAGTTTCTCACCTTTACCATCTCTCTTGCCACAGAGGACGATAATCTAAGTTCTGAAGAGTCCCAGTGGATGAACAAGCACAGCAACTTATGTAGATCGATTGTGTGGCCTGAGAGTAACACAACTCTCAAGCAGCCTGATGCCGAACTTATGGAGGATTTCATAGAAGAAGATGCTGAATTTAAAAATGGTGACCACAAGTACATCTCAGAGATACTGTTGGCATCAGGGCTTCTACGAGATATCGACTACAGCATGATAAGCATTCAGCTGCACCAAGCACACCTACCGATCAACCCGAGCCTTTTCTTTGTACTGGAACAGAACAAGACAAGCAATGTGAGTCCACAGGACAACAAGCACAAAGGCAGAGGATTTGGACAACAACAAACGGTGAACCTGATAGAGAGAAGCAAGAGGAAGCTCGTATTTGACACCATCAACGAGATCTTAGCTCACAGATTCGCTGCAGAAGGGTGTACGAAGCAACCATCCATAATATCATCAATCAGCACGCAAAGGATACCCGTAAAAAGTTCAAGAGGCAAAGAGCTTCTGCAAACTCTGTGTTCAGAGATTGATCGATTACAAGATAACTCAAAGTGTATCTTGGATGAGGACGATGAAGACCTCATTTGGGAGGACCTGCAAAGCCATGGCATGAACTGGAAGGAGATTGAAGGAGAGATACCAGGGTTAGTGTTAGACATTGAGAGGCTTATCTTCAAGGACTTGATTGGCGAAGTTGTGACAAGCGAGGTTGCAGCTTTTCCAGGAACGCTCAGAGGGCAACCAAGGCAGCTTTTTCATTGCTAATAATATTCCTAATTAATCTTCACTTAGAATTGTAAATCAAGGAATCTAAATCATCCATTTTACAGAGTTGAGAACATTTGGTTTCTTGGTTCTCTGAAAAGCCTTTTCCTATGTTCTTTTCTTAATTATTTATGTAAACTTCTTAAATGTTTATGTAAAGACTCAACCCAAGATAAATCAATGTTATATCCATCAACAAGAATATTTAAGCAAACCTCAATTGATGTAGAGACTTAACACAACTTATCTTCCAACAATTCTGAATTAAGTTTGAATTACTAACTCTGCCAGACCTAAAAGAATCGAGTTTAACTAGAACTGAGGATATTATATCTTCATTTTAAAAAAATGTTTCACCAGCAAATGATGTAAAGACCGAATACATTTCTCTTCCTCTGGCAGTTGAGTCAGTAAAAAAATCTCTTTCCCTAAAAAAAAGTCATGTATTCAATTGCAAACTATCACTAAACTCAGGATGCGAAGATATTCCGTCTACAAATTCTAAATGACAAAATACCTATTTTACATCTGCGTCAATACTTTCGCGCTTTTCTTCGCGTTCTACCTTCTTCTCCCTCTTGTATCCATCCTCTTGAAACCAACCCTTTTCCTCTAAGCACTGATTTAACGTCCAACACACAGATGCTTTTCGAGTCCCAATCTTGAAACGAAGCAAAGCTCGTTCTGTTCTTCCACCATCTCTTTTCTGTCCATCTTCCGTTTCAGCTAATCTGTTCTTGTCGTTGATCTTATCAGATAGAGCATATGCCTCAAGTGCTGGAATGTGATGGCTCTTGCTCATATATTTCTCAGGAACGTGGTTAGTGCGAATTTCTTCTTTCGTAAGCTCTGGCGGAGGAAACACACGTGACACGTTCTTCTCTCCAATCCAAAGTGGTGCAGCAAGAAATGGGTTACCTTCCGGTTCCGGTTCCTCTGTTGGTTTCTGAACATCCTTTTGATCCATGTATTTCTGAACTTTTAACCTATCAACATCGACAGACTGCTGCATACTCGACAAAGATGGTCCATTTTCTCTACTTTGCACATCCCCTTCTATTTTGTCAACATTAGTCTCCTCTGACCCGTTAGACATCTTGGTTTCAGGAAATGCAGGAAGCCAAATTGGAATATGCTCATCTGGTGGCTCTGCTCCAATCTCGGAAAAGCTAGGAGCCGGTCTTTTTCCTCTGTTGAAAGGGAAACGGGGAAGAGAATAAACGAAAGGAATCTCCTCCGCTTCTCCTGTATAACGAATAATATCCTTGACGACACCAGAATCAGCAAGACAATGATCAACATCATGAGCACCGTCGAAACCCAATCCAGATCCCAAATCCTCCAGTGCTTGAACAATGTCCAGAGCATTACCTTCTACTCTACCAGCCATATTAGCATAGAAGTTTGCAGTCTTCCCAATGTTTTGAATGTATTGAATCACTACATCAGTGAGTGTTTCAAGAGCAGTCTCTTGAAAAGAACTGAATCTCAAACCTTCTCGTGTCTGTGATTCCTGATAACTGCTAATCTCAACACTCTCACATATCTGTGCAGCGGCCATTCTAACGACGGCGTACGCAAAATCATTGCCACGAGAAATACTTCTTTTCCCTTGTAGTTCTCTCCGCTGACTTCCACCCTCTCCGCCTCCATTGGTCATATTCAACCTTTATTACAACTTTACACAGCGTAAAATGTAGAACCATTTCTTGAATCAACCCAACGAAATTTGCATTCCTTTGACACCGATATTGTTTAACTCATCTCCCACGGAATTCTCTTCTAGGTACCTTAAAAAGCGGAGAAAAAAACATCAAATTCGACATTGAGCTGAAGCATAAATTGAACCAAATGACATACAAGAACGAAGAATAAAAACCCAGTTGCCCAAATTAGGAAAACGAAAATTGAACTTCAATAAATATCAATTCTTCGTCACAACAAAACCCTAGAAACTCAACGAGGTCCAATTCACGACGGTAAGAGAACGGACCGATTAAAAACGAATCCGTTAAACAGAAACAAAAAGCTTACCGGAGAAGAAGACTTCCCCGTTGTAAAAACCCACGGAGCAGCGGAATCAACTAGGAAGAAGGACCAGACAAACTCCGGCAGGTACTTATGAAGAACCCAATTGAAAACCCTAGCGAAAGGAGTAAAATTTGGGAGGAATTTAAGGATTACGGAGGTACCAAGAAACCCAAATCGAAGTACAAAGGCTCCAAATTCTCGGGCAACGATAAAAACCCCAGCTTAAAACCCCTCGATCCAGAGAGGGAGAGAGATAGAGAGAGAGAGAGAGATATTGAAAGTGTGAGTTTTTCGTCCCCAACTTTATAAGCGGAAGCAGATGACTATAGGAAAGAGGGAATGATAACTTCACGACCGAGCAGATATAGATCTCGTCACAATGCTCTACTCTTCTAACACGTGTCCTTTCTCCTTGTTCTTCACTAAAACAATTTTGCTATGTGCAATTTAAATTCCAATTAAGCAATTCTTTAAATCTTACTGGTGTAATGAAATCACATGTAATAATTTTTGGTACAAATGGAGTTTCAATGACTTTGATTATAGTCTATAGATTTGTAATATAGTCACAAGTTCAATCTAAATTTTTATAATTTGTATTCGACGTTATTTTAACTAGATGATGTTTCGTGCGGTGTACGACATTAAAATTATTTTTACAATTTAAATAAATTTTGACACGTGTCTTTTTTAAAAAAAAAGTTATTATGTGCTTATTATCTTTTATTAAAAACAGTTTTTGCTATGTTCAATTGAAATCCCAGTTAAGCGAATCTTTAAATTTTACTCAGTGTAATAAAATCGCAAATAATGATTGTTGTTACTAATGACAGTTCCATATGTCTTTGATTATAGGTTTCTAATACTGCCACAAGTTTAATGTATGAATTCTAATAATTAGTATTAAACGTTATTATTTTCTTTTTAATTAGATGATGTCCCGTAATATTTACGGTATTAAAATTATTTAGAAATTTTAAGTAAAAATTCGGACACATATCCTTTTTAACTTTCCTTTTTTTTTTTTTTTTTGATATGTACAATTTAAATTCCAGTTAAACAAGTCATTAATCTTAGTATTGGTTTAGTGAAGTCGCATGTAATAATTGTTGCTATTAATGGCAATTCCATATGTCTTTGATTATAGGTTTTCAATCCAATCACAAATTCAATATGAATTCTAATGAATGCGATTAGACATTATTATATTATTTTAGTTACGTAATGTCCCGTGTTGTCTATGATAAGGGGGTGTATTCAATAACAGATTTGAAATGATTTGTATTAAAATGATAATTCTATGTTATTCAAACATAATTCTAAAAAACTTTCTAGGATCAAGTGTTATTGGATTAATGATTTTAAAATATACAATCAAATCTACCGTTATTGGAAACATTTTAAGTTGTGGATCTGAAGTGACTTGAATGATTTTAGGTGGGATTTTAGAGAATATTTTAGTTAAAAATTCAAACATCTAAATCTCATGGTTTTAGGTCAGTGGCGGATCCACGTAGTCTAATAGGGGGCAAATGCCACATATAAATTTTTATATTTTAAGACAAATGTTAAACAATTTCAGTTATGCCCCTTATTATTAGCAGTTTTGACCCTCCAACTCTTTGAACAATTTTAATATTGCCCCCCCCCCATAACTTGAAGCTCTGCATTTTCCCCTGTTTTAGGTGGAATTTGGGAGAACTTTAATAACAAAATTCTTAATTCACCAAAATTCATCAAAATCATCTCAAAACTCATTAAAACTCAAATCACTCTATATTCTTTTTTGGATACACCCCCTAAAATTATTTTGAAATTTCAATTAAATTCGAAAACGTGTGTTTTTTTTCGTTTTCCTTGTTTTTCATTAAAAAGATTTTTTAAATCTAAGCTAAAACAATTCCTTAAATTAGGAAAGTAACGGTATATTTGACTAGAGAATTAAGAAAAATTACCATTTAGTAAGAAAAAATAGGAAAGTAATGATTTATTTGACTAGAATTAAACAGTTACTGACAATCTTATCTATACTACTTTCTTAAACCGGAAAACTCAAACAAAAACCAAACCCAATTTCCGATTGAACATGTTTAGTGGCAATCTTGAATTGGTTCGGTAGTTTGGAGCATCACTCTCGGTTTAAGATTAGTTCCCTCCGCTACAAGTTACAACTTCAGTAGAAGAAGATTCAAACTATATGATAAAGTTTGATCATGCAAATTAAACAAAGATAATCTTCTAGTCTTTCCTTTTTTTCCTTCTTCTACTTCTTGAATCAATCACGTCGAAATGGATAATAAAATTAAAGCAAGAGAACCAGCGGTTTATAAAAACTTTTTGGGATTGCGTTTCAGACGTTTGCTTTGACAACAACGACTTCTTTTGTGGCGGTAGCTGAGGTAGAGTCTGAGTTGATGGGATGAAATAAAATTGTTGTTGTGGTTGTGGACCTTGTGGTTGCTTTGGCGGCTGAGACAACTCTGAAAATAGTTGGTTATCGTAAACGTTCCATATGGTTTCCAACGACGGCATTGTGACACTTCCATCTTCTTCGTTATGCAGTCTGCCAAAAAAGATATAGAACAAGAATGAGTTTTTTGATTCAGAGAAACAGAATTAGGGCTAATGTGTTCTTGTGGCACAAGCATTCTCTAAAAAACAGAGCAAACTTATACATGGGGAATGTGAAAGAAGAGATGCTGTTGTTGCTCGCCTCTGAACGACAACAAATGCTTATATCGTCTTGTATAATCTCTTTCACATCATCGTCATCATCTTCAACTGTTGCTTTTTCTTCTTGTTTACTCTTTATTACATTTGAAATATCTTGTTCTTTGCAATTGAGTTTGATCATCTCTTCTATGTTGCTCTCATTATCATTCTTAACCGAAAAAGGAGAAAGAACCGGGTTTCTTTCTGTATGGTTAACCAATTTAATCGTTTTTTGGGTTTCATCCATTGTGTTGTAAAACTAGAGTGGTGTAATTGATTGCTGAATCTGAAATAAAATTGATATTGTGATGAAGAGAAACTGGAAAATGAGAAGTTTTAGAAAAAAAAATTTAGAAGGGTTTTGTCTTTCGCTTATGGGCTGTTTGATTATATATGAACACAAGAAAAATCTCAACAAAAGTTTTGTTGTTGTTGTTGTTTGTTAACTATTAAAGCCATTGTGTTATGGCGTTTGTTAAGTGCACGGGAACGATTCAGGACTTTATGTAAGCAATTAGTTTGTAGTTACGAAAGTTTTACCACTCCACCATTTTTAGCAAAAAGTTAGTAATCTCGAGAAAAAAAACAAAAATCATTACTTCATTAGTATTGGTTAAAATACATGTATTAATCAACAAGAGTCGAATTGTCTATGATGTAATAGAAATTTGGTGCTACTTAAAAAAAAATATTTATGTTGTGAACTGTGTCTTTCATTAATAGTATAAGGGATATATATACAAGGATAATATCAGGATACAGAGAATAAGGTAAACCCTAATGGGCCATAGGCCGGTTATGGAGTCCATCCATATGGTTTATAACACTCCCCCTTGGAAGACATAACCGTGCCCGATACTAAACCGGGATCTCTATAATGCGCTGGGGAATGTTGCCTCATTAAAACCTTACCAGGAAAACCCAGTGGGACAAAACCATGGTGAAGGAAAAAGAGTACAACACGCATTACTCCCCCTGATTTGAGCATCACTGTAGATCCTTAAGTCCGCGCATCCCGATCTGATGAATGAGCTTCCGGAACGTTGAAGTCGGCAATGATTTGGTGAATAGGTCGGCTGAATTCTCACTTGACCGGATCTGTTGAAGTTTGACCTGACCGTCCTTCTGTAATTCATGAGTGAATAAGAGCTTTGGCAAAATGTGCTTCGTCCGGTCTCTCTTAGTGTAGCCGTCCTTGAGTTGAGCAATACAGGCTGCGTTGTCTTCAAATATGATGGTCTTTGATGTAGTAGTAGTAGCGCCTTAAGGAAGGCTGCCTACGTACCCTTGGAAGGGATCAAGCCACACATAGTTCCTATTCATTGACCATACCATAATCTGATCTTATGAATATCCTGCATTAGTAAATCAAACTAAACCAAAGCAAACTGGTCCTTCTTTGGTTAGATCAGTATAGAATAAACCCAAGTAAACAACGCATGAAGAATAAACTTTAAAATTTAACCAAACCTTCCTTTAAACCTTTCCAGTGCCTTTGGGTTGATCATGAACTAAATTTAGACAGGAGACTCAAGGCAAAACAAATGTTTGGTCTAGTGTGTCTAGCTAAATTCATTAGAACTCCTATGGCACTGAGGTATGGCATTTTCGGACTGAATGGATCACTATCCAATTTGAGGCTTCTCACCACCATTGGGCCTGGTCAATGGGCGGGCCTGGTCCTTATTAAATTTCCTTGAGTACTCTTTCAGTGTATGCCATTTGATGCACAAGGATTCCATTATTCACGTACTCAGGTTGTAATCCCAAACAGAACTTAATTATTGCCTAGGTCTTTCATTTGAGATTCTTTCTTTAGATATACTCAACTGTTTGGGCAATTACCCAGAGGTTTAAATCATTCATATACACTGTTATGATTACAAATCCTTTGTTTGCAAACTTCTTGATAAAAATACATGGACTGATCGGATCGTTTTTATAGCCTTCTCTGATGAGATATTCGCTTAACCGGTTATACCACATACGTCCGCTTTGTTTCAGTCCATATAAGGATTTGTCCAGCTTTATGCAGTGCTGTTCTCGAGAATCTTTCTTATCTTTGAGCTCAATACCCTCTGGTAATCTCATATATTATCCAGTGGACTTATATAAATATGCAGGCATTACATCCATTAGCCGCAAATCTTTCTCTTTTCTATAGCCAGACTTAGCAAAGATTTAAATGTCTTAGCATCCACCACATGGGAGTATATCTCCTCTATTTCTGGTCTTTGTGTGAATCCTTGTGCAACAAACCGTGTCTGATATATCACGCTTTCACTATGTTTATTTCACACAATCACAAAGACTCATTTGTCCCACTGGCTTTACATTGAATGGTGTCCTTTGTATTGGACCAAACACATTCTTCTTCTTGATAATTATTAGCTCCACGTTTTATGGTCTTGTACCATTTTAATCAATCAGGTCTTTGAGTGCACTCTAGTATAGACGTGGGCTCCTGATCCTCATTCATTTCAGTTGCTACCTTGTGCGCAAATATATTATCATTGATGTCGACATCTTTTCGGTTCCATTGTATTCTAGACATGATATAGTTTATAGAGATCTCTTTACACCTTCAGGACCTTGAGGTTTGGCGTCCCAAACCTCATTGATTGGTACCTTAGGGTTATGTCTATTAGCCGGCCATGTCTATGGTTTCTTGAACCTTCTCGGTTTCCCTTGCACCTTTCTTTGATTTCCGAGGGTTCTTGTCTTTGGAACCTTTTGGGTCTACCACGTTTCTTACGTGTTGTAGCCTCTGTAGCAACTTGATTGTGTTCCTTGTGAACATCAATACGTACTGGTGCATTACAAGCTGGTATGTACGATTTTGTTACTCTCTTTGGGTCATTATAGGAATCTTGGCAACTGTTTTAGCTAGCTTTTGCAGATATATAGTCTTTTGGATCTCTGATGGAGTCCGAGGATCTTGCCATGTGAAGGATGTTTGATTCCATGTAAGTTCTTTGACCAGCTTGTTAGTCTCTCCACCCAGTGTTGGGAAAACAGATTCATTGAGATGACAATCCTTGTATCTGGCCTTTGGCTCGAGATACTTAATGATGGTGGGAGAATCATTTTTAACGTATATTCCCATCTCCTTTTGAGGTCCCATCATTTGCTCTCTGTGGTGGTGCTATGGGTAAATAGGTGACACACCCAAATGTCTTTAGATGGGAAACGTCTGGCTCATGACCCGTTAGTAATTGGGATGGGGAATATCTATGCTCATTAGATGGCCGAATGCGTATTAGTTCAGCAGCGTGTAAAACTGCATGTCCCCAAGCTGAGACCGGAAGCTGCGACCTCATGAGTAATGGTCGAGCAATTAGTTGAATTCGTTTAATGAGGGATTCAGCTAATCCGTTATGTGTATGGACATGTGCCACAGGATGTTCCACACTTACCCCATGGCCATACAATAGTCATTAAATGCTTGGGAAGTGAATTCACCAGCATTATCTAAACGTATGGTCTTAAGAGGAAAATCTGGAAAATGGGCTCGCAATCTGATGATTTGGGCCAATAACCTAACAAACGCTTGGTTCCTAGAAGACAATAGGCAAACATGCGACCAGCGGGTCGATACATCGATTAAAACCATGAAGTACCGAAATGTTCCACAAGGTGGATGGATCGGACCACATATGTCTCCTTGAATTCGTTCCAGAAAATGTAAGGTCTCTTTAGACACTTTGACTGGTGAAGGTCGAGTGATAAGCTTCCCTTGTGAACAGGCTATGCACGTGTGGTGCTTAGGGAAAAACTCAGTTTTCTTTAAGGGTGTGCCCTTTAGAACTTTGAATTAATTTACGCATCATATTCGAACCGGGCTGGCCAAGCCGGTCATGCCATTAGTGAATCTCTCAGTAAACCCTTTTGTTTACTTTATTAGCCCTTATCATATTTACCTTGGCATAGTAAAGATCTATGACGCGGGTATAGTCTCTAAGACCTTCTCATGGTCTTGGGTGCTCTTAGTAATATATGGGAATCCTTTGTTCCCTTCACCCTTAGTTTCAATGTGGAAACCATTCAAACACTTTTCTTTGAAACTCAACAAGGCCCCTTTGAGCTGGGTGAATATGAAGCATCTGAGGATGCGTAGGCCTGCCATGGGCCTGCCCTTAGCCTTCACTAAATTTAGCTATACCTGCAATTTGGCTAATCAACCATGTCTTTGGATATTTCGTTGGCATTCCGAAGTCTCATAGTCATCTATCTCATGGTCGAAATCTTCTTCACCATCGTGATGAACTAAATGAGCTTCTAGATTCTTTTCAAACTCTCTTGATCGAGATCAACGAGATGCTTAGGTGTCATGCACGTCTTAGTCCAATGGTTTCCCCATTCCTCATCAGTGGCAAACAAGTTTATTTGAGTGTTGTGGTTTGGGTATACCGTGGCCTACCTCGATTACGACCAAAGTCGGGTCGGTGGCCTTAACCATATGAATGGTTTCCTTGATCATATAAATTATAATTTCCACTTCTACCACGTTCATTCCATTTCCAATGACTGTGGCCATGATACTTATCTATTTGGACGTGGTTAGACTCTTTAGTCTCTTTAGGCTCTTTAGGCTCTTTAGGCTCTTTAGGCTCTTCAGCCCAACGGGCTTCTGATAATGGGGTAGGACCAGGAGGTCTCATTTCACTATTTATAACTCATTGTTTTGCTCAACAAGTATCATATCAGAATCAATGTTCTCATCAAGGTTTCTCCAAAGCCTCACTCCTTAGCACTCTCTACAGAGGAGTCCTCCCCAAAAACAAGAGTTTAGACTTGCATATGTGGTAAAAACCTTTTTTCACGATATTGTTGCTGAGGCAATATATTTTTTGTGTGAAAGGTCGAGAATGCTTTCTCTAGCAAGTCATTCTCAGTAACTTCCTCACCACGGAATCTCAGTATTGACACTATTTTAAATAGTGCTGAGTTATACTCATTCATGGATTTGAATTCCTGGAATCTGAGATTCTCCCGATCGAATCGGGCTTTTGGGTAATAGCACCGTTCTTTGGTGGTTATATTGATTTTTTTTTTTTATTTATTTTTTTTATTTTTTCAACTCTGTCCTGAGGTCCAGATGATTCTTAATAGTGAGGTACTGATTTTGAGACTCTCATTGAGGTGATGGCGTATGTCAGTAATCGCCTTATATCTTTCTCTTCTGGTGACATTGTTTCCTTCCATAATAGATTTACCAAGCCCTTTTTCCTTTAGGACAATCTCAGT